GAGCGAAACTCCGTCTCAAAAAAAAAAAATAAATAAACCTAAAAAAAAAAAAAAAAAAAAAACCTAGAGAAACGTGTGCTTGTATGTACCAAACTACACATAAATGGAAGCATCATTTATGTTAGACAAAAATAAGACAGACATGTGAAGTGCCAGTCAGCTCTACCATTCACATGCCTTTGTGTGGAGAAAGATGAAACTTCTTCCCTAGATGATGATTGATGCAAGATACATGTGAGGACATCCATAATTCTGAGCTGCTTTAGGCTGCTGAGACTTAACTCTGCAATCATATTCTTCTCCAGGTATCATTCATTCTTTATTTTTGAGGATCTTTCTTTTCCTTCTGGAGACACCTGAGCCCACAATCCTGGGACAATATGGCAGAATCTTTTTTTTCGGATTTTGGCTTGTTGTGGTATCTGAAGGAGCTCAGAAAGGAAGAGTTTTGGAAATTTAAGGAGCTCCTCAAACAAGAACCTTTGAAATTGGAACTCAAGCCGGTCCCCTGGACCGAGTTGAAAAAGGCTTCCAAAGAAGATGTAGCAAAGCTTCTGGACACACATTACCCAGGAAAACGGGCATGGGAGCTGACGCTGAACCTGTTCCTACAGATCAGTCGGAAGGACCTCTGGACGAAGGCTCAGGAAGAGATGAGTAGGTGCTGGATGGAGGGGCGGGGACCCAAGGGGCAAGGTCGGTTCACTGGGACCAGGTGATGTCACTTTGAATGAGTGGCCACGGCCTCCACCCGATGAGAATGTGTGTGGGTCGGCGTGAGAGGTGGAGGTAGGACAAGTTGCAAGGCTGGGCTGTTCATGTTCCGGCCAGTGATGAACTGGGGGCGGATGGTGTCCTGAATACAAACTGTTCACCTAAGGAGAGTCTTCTCGCTTTTCCACCCCAAGTGGAGTCATTGCTATTATAGGAGATGACTGGGCAGTTAGCGTGTGCATTACCATGTCTACTGAGATGGTAGTTGCCTGTCCTTTTTTTTTTTTTTTTTTAA